CGATTTTTTTATGTGTTCTAGATCCTTTCTGCGGATGAACTGTACTCCACCTCTATATACTCCCACCTGAGAGTCAAATCCAGGGACTGCATTTTTGTTTCTCTTTCTGCAAGAAGATCATATCGTGGTACTGACTACTGGTGACAAAATTTATGGAATATACACTTACTTTAAAACTGAAGATAATTTCATTATGGTAATTTTCAAGTCTTAATTGTTAATAGAAGGTGTGAAGGCTAAATGTTTCAAGAAAAATGGCCAATAAAAAGCACTGAAGTTAGAGATTTCCTATATAAGACAAGGAATCTGATATGGATATAAAAATTAAAATGGATAATTTGTTTTTCCATCTCTTTCTCTAAAGAAATATTTTTCTCGAAATACATAAAATATTTTCCATCAGTGTAACTTGTAGAAAAAGCCTTTACGTATATAAAATAAGTGAATAAAATTTGTTAGGACTTGTGTTACATAGTACTAGATTCACAAATGTAACAAACAGGGACACAAAAAGGCAAACTATACACCTAAATATTCAAGTTCCATTATTACTCAATCAAAATAATTTTAAATAAGAAAAAGAATAAATGTTATATAAGGTATAGAGAGAAACACTTTAAAAATATTAAAGGTAAATCTACGAGTCCTTTATTCTGAGTATGCTTGATTTCATAATATAAATCCAGGTAAAAAATAAATAAAAGGTCTATCTTGTACATCTTGAAAACTATAAAAAGTCTATAACTATTTACAACAAACACTCAAAAGTATAAAACGTATTAAAAATTATGCTTGCTTCGTAATAAAGCACAAAGCTACACATTGGGCTATCTTTGCTCTGCCCACCATTGGTATCGACACCGGAATTCTAGCATTGTAAGTCAGCAGACATTCTGCTGTACCACTTGGGGGGGTGGGCAAAAATTATGTGACTAATCTGTACATAAATTATATTTTAGCAATCTTACACATAGATCAATATATGGAAATTAAATATTCTTTAAAACAGTTTCACAATGACTTTTTCTAGTAGATGAGAAAACAGTAAAATCTAGACTAAATTTAGAGGTTTTTTTTATAGTGAAATTTCCAAGTTTTTATTTTGTTACACAACATTTCGCAAACAACCTTAATTTCTTTATCATTATTTCAAAAAATGCTCACCTTTGCTTTTGTGATAAGTTTCTTGGTCCTAAGCCTAATTTTCGGTTCTAAAACAGAAATAACATTTCAGATGTTTCAAAGTTCAAAATGTCTGACAAAAATTTACATTTGGCTAACTGGGAAGATTTTGGTAATGGTAGCAAAATCTCTACAGATTTTGCACTGAACTTAAGATGAATGTTTTTTTAACATAACTTATATTTTGAGTACCAGTTACCCACATAAATATTTATTGTTCTCATAGGACAAAATACTGCATTTTATTATTATACAAACTTCCCAAAACCTTATTATCTAAATCAAGTGATAAAAAAATTTCTGTCCACATATGAACAATATCAAAGTTGTATATAATTCAGTATTACAAACACAAATAATCTTTCATTGTACCAAACAAAAATCACAAGAACAAATTCTTACACCACATAGTAACTTTTCTTTCTTTTATACTTAATAAAACAAATCTGAAAAACATCTGAAAAATAGATTTTGTTTGGTCTTTACAAATTTAAAAGCCATTTTTGCCACTTGAAAAGGAATTTGAATAATATAACACTCACTACTGTACTTTGCTCTTTGGTTTCAGTTTTTTTCTGTTTTCGTTCTTCAATAAGCTGTTTGTAATTCACATACTGGTTCTTTGGTGGCTGGTAGTGAAAATAAATATTTCAAAAAATATATATATATACATACAAAAATATATTTCATTTAAAGAAAGAAAACTAGTAAACCACTACTTTTAAATGAGAAAGAATAGTTAATTCTAAGTCTCTGGGTCAAAGCAAAGGAGAATATGGCAACCACACTATACTTGCTATATCTAATGTGAGTGATATATTTTGTCCACACCAGGGCTCATCAGGCTGACTGGTACACAACATACACAAAAGTGGTGTAGGAACTCTCTCTCTCTCTCTATATATATATATATATATATATATGAAAATTAATGACACACACACCAGTGAATTGCAATTATTATCAATTTATTTACGTTATTTACAAATCCGATTTTTTAAGTAAAAGTTTAGAACACAACATTTAATTTGAACACTGCTTTTAGTTTATTTTAGTTAGTTTTAAATTAACTTTACTACCATTCTTAAGGACTAGCAAACCAATAAGCTAAAATTAACATTAGTTTGAAATTTATTACAAGTATCTGACAGTTGAATGGGACTAATGTATCTTTCCAAACAAGATGTTTGAATATTGTTGTTTATGATGACACACCTTGTAAATCTTTCAATAATTTTACTTACCTTTGCACCTAATTTTATTGCTAAAGCTATTCTAGCTTCATCTTTTCTCTGTTTCTCAAAACCAGAAATTCCAAATTTTAAAACTTCATAACGAGCTCTCTGTAAGTCTAGCTCTGGACGGTCTTCAAATAAATCATTTTCTTCATCAGGTTTTCTGTCTGAACTTATTGACTTCTATAAAATAAAATAAGCCTTACACAAATTAGCAATATTATGACAATATATATATATAAAAGATTAGGAGGGAGAAAAGGCATAATTTCTTATTTTTTTATCATTTTCCCAAAGATTTATTGATTTTACGCTACACAACTACTGATGCATGGTCAAATCAAGCTGCAAAATATGAGGAAAATATGAAAAAGTTATTTAATTAAAATTTATTATTAAGATTCTCCATAAAACCTTAATACATGTCATTTTTTTTTACAAAATCCTTCAGTTTCTAAAGCTTTCTTGAACTGTGGACTTTTTTTTACTTTACTTTTATTAACTTTTACTTATTATTATTATTTAATATTAACATGACTCGTACACAAATATACTTATGTGTATGTATATTATTAATTTTTTGATTGGCTAGACATCTCTCCAATTGGTACTTGTCAGTAAAAGATTTTTTCAAATAAATTATGGTACCTAACTTAACTTGTATTCTGATTAACAGTTACCAGTGTTTTTTCTGATGGAAATTCCAGCAACAGAGTCAACAGCTCTTGAAAATAAAAGATCAATTTACTTGTTTTGTTTCAGATATTGTAGCAAAGGCATACAATGGTTAGCTGTATTAACCTCCCTAAATCTTGGGCTACTTTAATTAAAGGACAGGATTTGACCATCATCAAATGCACCAAAAACCTCCAGTGTATAAAGCACAATTCTGCAGCAACAGTAATATAGAGAAAATATAATTTTTTTTAATATTAAGAT